GGTTGGCCAGTTTGTTTAGGGCTGGGGCGTTAAAACTTGGGGCAAAGGTTTTGGTCCCCTTTCTGGCCCGGCACTAAAAAAAAAAAAAAAAAAAAAAGATGAGGAAACTGAGGCAAAGAGAGATGAGGTAATTTGCCTGGAGCTGCACAAATAGAATGAGGAGCTGGGATTCAAAACCACTATACTTAACAGCCTCCAGCATGTACATCCTCCTCCCCAGGCATCTTGGGTTTTTGCTCCTACGTGCACACACCTCTCAGAAAGTGGAATGAGGTGCTCTGGCTCTAAAATTAAAAAGTCTTCTCCCAATCTGTAGAATTCTAAATTAATGTTAAGGTTTTCTCCCATAAATGCTCCTTAAGCTTTTGAGTCCTGTTTCTGCTCTATTAGACTACAGAGTATGATAATATACAATTTATTAGAAAATTATCCAATTTGCTATCTACAATGTAACGTGTATCAAATTCATGCTTCTCTGCCCTCAGACAAAATAAGGGTCCCCACTTCACCACAATGCTGAATGACTATTTGCAGAGCACATGTGTACAGTGGTTGGATGTTTGACAGTTGGAACTGTGGGTATAGAACCTTCTTGCGAGTTTAAGTATTTCATGTATTTTTCTGTCACACGGACAGAAATAACAGTAATAATTTAATAAGTAATAACGAGTAGCTGACCTATTTCAGGAAAAGAGTCTAGAAATAAAATAGAAGCTTAGAAAGGACAGAGACCTGACACTATATATTAATACGTTATTTTGGAGCCAGTGAAAAGAGGAGTACAGGAAGCAGAGGGTAGGAAATACTGTCAGATGTCACTGGTGTTGAGAAAAAGCAGGAAGATGATTGGACTGTTATGAGATGGCAACTGGAGAGCTGGGCCAGGTTGCAGTGGACCGGCAGGGTCAATGAAGCAGCAACGGAGGTCTGAGAAGTTGGGCAGTAACATTAGAAAGGAAATAGGAAAATGCTCACAGGAGGAGGAAGGCCAGACACAGGGCTTTTCTTTTATTTTTCAGAAATGGACTGCTCTGTGCAACAGGAAGGATGGGAAATTCAGAGTACCTGTGTTAGTTTTTTTTTTTTTTTTTTTGTCTTTTTCCGTGTCCGGCAACGGATCGCAACCCTCAGTGTCGCCCCCGTACCGGACCGGGGACCGGCAACGGGATCGCAACCCTCGGCGTTGCTCCCGCGCCTCGCTCAGCCAGTGAGCGGAACCGGTCCGTATGTGGGATCTGAACCCTCGGGCGGGAGCGCCGCCGCGCTTCCCAAGCGGCGCACTATCCAGTGCGCCACCGGGCCGGCCCACCTGTGTTAGTTTTTAAAGGGTAATCACATCCTCTATGAGTAGATGGAGATAAGACAACATGCACAGAAGGACAGAGGGCCCAGCCATCTCAGCGTCTGCTGGAGGGGGCTGAGGTCGGCACAGGATGGGGGAGGCAAGCTGAGATCTGAAACAGTGAAAGACCGATGGCTGGGATGGGAGGGGACAAGCCAGGTCTGCAGTGGAGTGGCTGTGGCTGATTCGCACCACTAGAGGGCACCTATATCTTGCACTTCCTCATCCCAGTGAGAGTCTGGGGGCCAGAACCACCACCATTCCAGCCTACTCCCAGGACACTTGTTTGCCAGGCTGGCCGTGCCTTGATGACCGGTCACGGAACCTGCCACCATGGATCCGCACCTCTCAGGGGCAGCCTACCCTGGAGGGCTGGCGCTGTCATAAACTGTTCCCTACACAGTCATCCTTGCCTGCTTCTCCCAGATGGCTGTGACCATCATCTGAGAGCTACACATGACATCACGTTGTAAACTCCCAAGGGTTCTACCACTGTAAGCTGGTCTTGTTATTACTGGGATCACACAGACTCACTGTGCCACTATTTATCTCTATGTATGTCTTCTTTCTCCTCAACTAGACTCTAAGCTTTTATGAATAGGGATTATAAGTATATTTAAAAATGTCCTATGTGGCTGGCCAGGTAGCTCACTTGGTTAGAGTGTGGTGCTGATAACACTGAAGTCAAGGGTTCGGATCTCCTTACCATCCAGCCCCGCCCCTGCCAAAAAAAAAAAAAAAAAAAAAGTCC